ACCCAGCTACCACAGATGGATTGTAGTTAGCTCCAAACAACCTTTCATCAGTGAAGGGAGTGGATATTTTAGAACTGGATTTGAGCTGGTACCGGCAGAATGGGTGCTGGGAACCAAGAAATACTTCTACTCTGGCACATGAATTAAATAAACTTGTGTTTCTTCCTATTCTTCTTGGCACTGGTAATGTCTTGGTATTATATAACATGGCTTGAATGTTCCCACTGGCTTTCTCAATGAGTGATTTGTTCAATTAGTCAAGAGTGTGACTGAAGACAAGGTCACTAAGTCCATTTCCAGCCAGCCAGTTGGCGTGAGTCAAGTTGCTGGGCTATAAATTGACGGTTATCTATTTATATATGGATTCCATAAGCCCCAGTCATTTGGGGGCTTGTATGCCAATCATTTCTCAACCACCTGGCAGACTGTCCCCCTTCCTTTGGGTCACTTATAAAATGCCTTATATTTGGCATTGAGTGAGGAAGTCTTAATGTGGTTAGTGACCAAGTTAACTTGAAGCCATGAATGGAAAAGAATAGTTTTTGCTCTTTGGTATGGAAGTATCTCCTAATTCCTTATGAGAAGAACAATATCTCCAAATCATCAATCCAACCATTCATCTTTCAAATATTTGTTTACTAAAAAGAGTTGTTACTTGTCCTTCACTTGATCAGGCTCTTGGCAGCTACAACTACAGAACTGTATTTTTGAGGAATCTACACGCAGCTTCTTCAGTAGTAACTACAAAGCAGACGCCTCTGAGGGTCTAAAGCATTACTGTTTCCTGTTCCATTGGTCCTTCATGTCAGAAACATTAAGCTTTGACCTGTGCAGTGAAGTCATGAGAGTAGGGAGTCTGGGGTCAGACAGTCTTGGGTTCAAATATGGGTTCTCCCACAGACTGGCTGTGTGATCTTGGTTGGTTTACTTAACCTCTCAAGTCTTAGTTCATACCTCTGTGAAACAGGAAACCTATCATATAGAGGTATTATGAGGATTATATGAAAGACTATTTGTAAAGCACTTAATCTAGTATGGAGCTCTTTATTTCTGACATTAAAATATTATTTTTACATATCAGGCCCTTGGACAGAGGATACTTGTACTGCTGTATCCTCATTGTAACTATTTGCCTTAGTAAGTGGATTCTGGCACAGTCCAATCCTTGAACTTTTAAAAGTGACTTTGAACAAGGCCTTCTTTCTTTGATTACCAAATTGTTCTCAAGTTTGATGAACTGTAAAAGCTTTAAATATAACAGTTGCTGATGCAACTTGACTGTAATGTAGCAGTTTGGATTCAGGTGTCATGTTTGAAATGTGGCTATATGATTGCATATTAGCTCTCTGGTCTTAAGAGGTCGGTAGATATTTGGGGCCTAGGAAGTTCAGCCCTGGAATAACTGGCTACCCTTAACAAGAATGAGGACCATCTCAGCTGATCCCATAGAAGAGAAGGTGCAAAGGTCAGCTCCCCAGGACAGCAGCAGAGGCCATGAGGTACACTTAGTCCATCTGCTGCTGTTGTGCTGACTGAGACCGGCTCATCAGAAGTGCTGTTTGTCCGCTAGCAGAGAGGAAGGAGTCCATTTCCTTGGGGCTCATCGGCTAGCAAACCAAGTGAATTCTCACCCCTTTTTCCACAAAACCTTTACTTCCCAGAGACCCTCTCTACCCCTCTTCACTGGACTGGGAGAGGGCTGAAGTCTTTTAAAGCGTGTGTTCCTTAGATGAAGCTTCAGTCATCTGGAGGGAAAAAATTTTGGCTCTGTACCTGAAATTAAGTGATTGGTTTTTAATTGAATCACATTATGTTTTTTTCTCCTTTTATTCATCTTCATTACTATTGGCTTCTCTGTTTTTATATATGTGTGTATGTGTGTGTGCATATATATACATTTTATACACACGTGTGTGTGTGTATATATATATATATATATATA